TTTGTGGCCACGGCACAGACTGCGAATAAGCGCCTATTGCCAGTCGCATATGCGCTTGTCGATGAAGAAAGCACGGACAGTTGGTCATTTTTCCTTAAGAATCTTCGGCAATATGTAGTCTTCCAGAGACAGATCTGCGTTCTTTCCGACAGGGATGCGGGCCTACTCAGTGCCATTGAATCATTAGCAGATTGGCAAGAACCCGCTGCGTATCACCGGATTTGCCTTCGACACCTTCGAAGCAACTTGGTGACTAAGTTCAGGAGTAAGAAAATTCGGACTTGGTGTTGAGAATTGGGTTCGCAGTTGTCGGAGCGAAAGTTTCGAGGGACAGAACAGTGACTGTTGGCATTGAGTTCTGAAGCACACAATTACCTTTTTCGAATTCCTTTGAACAAGTGGACCCTATTGAAAGATCAAGGACGCAGATGGGGCACATTGACAACGAATATGTCGGAGAGTTACAACAACGTCCTGAAAGGGGTTAGGTTCCTGCCGTGCAGAGCTTTGGTAGAAGCCACATTTCATAAAACTCTGGATTTGTTTCAACAGGAACAAAACAAGTCCACGAGATGCGGGAGTCCCATTGCTAGGGAGCACTTTAATGCATATTTGCAATTGGAGAAGACAGCCGCCACTCATAATGTGAGAGTTAGGGACGCCGACAGCTCCATATACGAAGTGGAAACTGGTTTACCAGCTAGTGGAAGAGGGCAAAACAAGTAAGTATATTTTTATTTTCTTTGTCCATTCAATTTTTTCATATTGTATATATATAAATCACTGAGGAATTATTACAGGTATAAGGTAGATTATAACCGAAAACGTTGTAGTTGTCGGAAGTGGCAAACGCATAGGAAACCATGCTCTCATGCGATAGCAGTATGTCGTTCAATTGGGACTAACCCAAAACTGTTGTACAGTGGTTATTTTTTTACGGAGAACTAGGTAGCTCAATTTAGCAATTGGAGTTTTGCTCCGATTGGTAATCCGGATACATGGGCGCCGGTCGAGTGGAAATTGATACCACACTGGAAGAGGATGATCTTGAAGCCTGGACCCGGTCGCGTGTAAACGAGATGATATCGCATGCAAATGGATCGTCGGGCACGCCGCAGGAGGGATAGGGGACAGTGCACTAGATGCGTGATCCAAATCATGTTGTGGATGAGTGTCCGTCTTCACATCCTCGCACCGACAGGTCTAGACTTCGTGATGAGTGGGAAATTAGATTTGTTAGTGTTTATTCGGATTTGTTTGGAGAGTTCATTTGGATTTGGTTGGATTATTTGAATTTGTTTGGATGATTTGTTTGGAATTATTTGGATGGTATTTACTGTAATTTTGTTTTTGATGGTATTTTGGTTTAGATTGTGTATTTCGATTTGTTTTGTTGTTTTGGATTGTTAGAACAGGTTTTTTGGTTGTTACAATAGTAAAAACTTGTATTTTTTTTTCATCCCCAGTAGAGAACGTATTTACCAAATACGTTTTTTAAAAAAAATTTAATTAAAAAACGGATTCCAGGAATCCGTTTTTCAAATTTAATTATTTGAAAAACGGATTTTCGAAATCCGTTTTATAAATGCCAAAATAATGACACGAGGATCCCAAATTCGGGACTCGAACCCGGGTTCGAGTGAATCCGTTATCTCTGGAGGCGCCTCGTTACCATTGGGCCGCGCTAGGCTATCGCTGAAAGTTTTGCACAACTTTTGTTCTTATCCTTTAACATCAAAATTTTTTATAGTATATAATATTGTTAATATATTGTATATACATATATATTATAATTTGACATATAGTATATTTTATATATGCTTTTTAATTCAAAGAAATTGGGCTATCACTAATAAAATTTTGCAACTGAATTTGAATTGTTACAATAGTAACAAGGATTTAGATACGGAATATACTTTCAGAAATGGAATGTACTTCAAACAATTGTATTTGTGTTAGTAACGAAATTTGTGACGAACTCATTATGTTACAAACAAACATAAATTTCAATTTAAACACTTAAAATTCTATCTTATTTCTAATTTATATAATATTAATATAAATTATAAATACTTCATTTATTATCTTTACAAGCCGCAAACACTAGAGTAAAATTCGTCTAAATTGGACTAAATGAGCTAAACACAATGCCCCAGTTTTTAGCGAAAAGTTCGAGAAGTCTTGTAGAAAAAGTTTGAGAAGTAGATCACTTTACCGGCTCATGTAGATACTCCTTTAGATAGATGTTTAATTGATACACTAAATTCGGCTCGGACTCTATAACGCTTACGATTTTGTCTTGGTGGACAATAAAATCATTGTAATGGTAAATCGACACATAGGAGCTCTCGGCGCTCCTCGACGGACACGACGATGTGGGTGCGCCATGTCTAAACTCTTTTTTGTTGCTATTATTATTATTATTATTATTTTGAAGCTCTTTTATTATTAGAATTAAGAATATTTTTGCATTTTTCATTTTTTATGTATACCAAAGAAACTTTTCTAATCCAGCTATTGAAATGGTTTTCTATATTGCTAACAAGTGAGAGGAACTATCATAATAAGAAGGGTCAGAAATAACACTACAACATAACAAAAAGGGCAAAACAAGTAGAACCATCGGTCACTCACGTTCAACTCTTTGTTCTTCACTCCAACTTATTTCTTATCGTCCAACCACTGCTGTCACTAGGGGTGTTCAGATTTCGACTAAAATCGAACAAACCGACCGAACCGAATCCGACTCGGTCGGTTTTCGATTGTAGTCGAATTAAATTTCGGTTATTTCGGTCGGTTTCGGTTTCGAACATCAAGTGTCCGAAATAACATAATCGACCGAATAATATATGTAAATATTATACTATATTATATTATACTCTATATTATAATAATATATCATATATTATATAATTGATACTGCCATAAGTAGCACTTCATGAAAATGTCTTGAAATAATGTTTCTTAATTACACATTTTCTTAAATTATATTTTTGCTTCAAGAAAATGTCGGACTGGTTAGTCATTTTTGGCTTTTAGTTTGGTACATATATTTTTTATTTGAATTATTTAGTTTTTCTACATCTTTTAGTTAAAGATTTAATTTCATTTGCAATTTTTCTCTATGGAATATTTAGTTTTCCTAGATCTTTTAATTAATGATCATTTACAATTTTTCTCTATGGAATATTTAATTTTCCTAGAACTTTTAGTTAATGATTTAGTTTCTTCTACAACTTTTCTCTATGGACTAAGATGTATTTTAATCCTATGTGTCGACCATCTATATGATACTCATTTTCTTGTAGCATCTTTTGTTTTGGTTCGTATTTCCTTATACAATTTACAGTTATATTAATAATATTAAACTAAAATATTGTAAGTATGATAACTAATTAAATTAAATATGGTAGGCTAACTTTTATAATTTATTTTAAAAAAAAGTTATAAACTTAAAGTTAATAAATAATTATTGAGTTGCACAATATGTTAGGTTAATAAATAGGAAGTTGCAATTAATTAATAAATATTGAGTAGTAATTAATAAATAAGTTAAGTTAATAATAAATAGGGAGATGTAGTTAATTAATAAATATTGAGTTGTAATTAATAAATAAGTTAAGTGAGTTTCAAGCATAATAACTACCACATCCTATATCAAATAACTGACCACGTCTAAAACTCTTCAATTAACTACTGAACTCCAAATCATCTTATTACCTATTTAACTCAATTACATTTTGAGTATTACACTCATACATTTATTTGGCAGTCATACTTCTATGGGAGTGAAACGTCAAAGAATATGATGGGATTTGAATTATCCGCGAGAGTCTGTAAGTGCAATTTTTTTTTCTTCTTTTCACTAATATATGATACGACAGAATAATTTGATTCTTATATACAAACCCAAGAATGTAAGCATCGATATTGCAGCTAGACTTGAATAAGCTACCAACATATGAAGGGTTCATATCAGCGACTCAGGAGTTCATCTATGCGGCACAAGAACGAGAGAAGGCTCAGCGAGTTCTATTGGGGCATAATCATGAAATGTTAAAATATTACTTCCAATTTTATTTGAGGATATAAAATGATTAGTAGTTTGTATTAATTGTACTTTGATGTTTTATCAATTGAATTTTTATTATTGTATTAATGAAATAAAATAATTGTATTTTATTTTATTTTTCTTTAATCTTGCTTGCTTATTTTTAGTGGTATTAATGAATTCATTTGATGCAAAACAATTTTACTGAATGCAACAATAAAAAATAGAATATGCCATTATATTGTAATTATCACTAATATTAAGATATTAAGAACAAAATAATCCGTTTTTAATTTGGTTTCTATTGTTGATTAGTTAGGAACAAATAATCTCGTTTCTAATTTAGTTTCTATTACTGAATAATTAGGAACAAATAATCTCGTTTCTAATTTGGTTTCTATTACTGAATAATTAGGAACAAATATTCTCGTTTCTAATTTAGTTTCTAATAATGAACAATTAGGAACAAATAGTCTCGTTTCTAATTTGATTTCTATTACTCATTAATTAGTAACAAATAGTCTCGTTTCTAATTTGGTCGAAAACTAGAAACGGCTTGCTTGTTACAAAAGCCGTTACTGATAGCAACAGAACGGAATCCGTCTCTGAGCTGAGCATCAGAATCCTTGTTTTCACTAACCAATAATGAAACGGATTTTTTTTGTTCCTATTATTTATTAGGAACGGAAAATAAACTTTAACCAACGGAATTTTTTGTTCTTGATGATTCATATTCTAGTAGTGGCGTATACACGTTTATTGTATTAGTTATAATAAATACATGTCAAAATCTGGATCATTCCTAGTGTACCCTACCTACATGGAGGAATAATTACTATATATATCACTACCATAGTGAGATGTGCACTCAAGTCAGGGAGGGGATAAACACGAATTTAGAAATAGTAATATAAAGAAAAAGAATAAAAAGAAAAAAGAATCTGAAATTATGGTGATGAATAAAAGTAGTAGTAAAGAAGAGATGAGAAAAGGTCCATGGACCGAAGAAGAGGATGTTCAGCTGCTATTTTACGTGAACTTACTCGGCGACCGCCGTTGGGATTTCATATCCAAAGTTTCAGGTTTGAAGGTTGGCGGGAGACAGGATACATAGGTAGGCGTGTTTTGGGCATGGAATTTTTTAATCACAAAAGTGCCTGAAAAGAATTAACAAGCCGTTATTTTTTTTGGGAATTAAATTTTGTTGGGTACAGGTCTGAAAAGAACAGGCAAAAGCTGCAGGTTGCGTTGGGTTAATTACCTGCACCCTGGCCTCAAAAGGGGCAAGATGACCCCTCATGAGGAGCGCCTTGTTCTTCAGCTTCACTCTAAATGGGGAAATAGGTTGTTTTTTTATGACCCCACCCTTACTTTACTCAATAACTCATCTTTGTGTTTTATTTGTTTATGCATAACATACTTTGTGGAGCGGTTAACTGATACAATTGTTTCGTCTTTTGAGAATTAAACAATAATAAGATACTACTTATGTTCATAATATGTGTCGTTTTGAAGAGTTGTACAATAATTAAGATTTTTTTTTATAATAATAACACTCTTTAATGAAAATTAATAGTGAATATAAAAAGACGTAGTGTATTTATTAATAATAATAAAAAAATATATATAAAAAATCTAAAACGTCATTTATTTAGTTAGTAGTTGATAAAGTTAAGATGACATTTAAATTTTTACTTGGGTCAATTGTTTCAATTTTTCGCTTGCTTTCCTTTTTTAACTTAGTGAACAAAATATACTTGAAGATGGTCAAGAATCGCGCGGAAATTACCCGGCCGCACGGATAACGAGATCAAGAACTACTGGAGGACTTACATGAGGAAAAAAGCCCACGAAAACAAGAAATTAAACGAACAATCATCGCCATCATCATCATCCTCGTATTCCAACTCAACATCCTCAGACAGCCCCACTCGTGCTAACATCAATCCAGACAGCAAAGATCCAAGCAAAACTGGTTTGGAAATTGAAAATGGCGCGGAAGCTTATTCAATGGATGAAATATGGAAAGATATTGAGATGTCCGAAGGGTGCAGTGAGTTGACTAGTCGCACGTGGGATTTCTGTGGGGCCGACTGGTTGTGGGCCGTGGATGACGTGGATCACTATTACTCTTTCCCTTTTACGGAACCTAGCAAGTTAGAATATATATAAGAGGTTTGTACTTTTATAGTTTGAAGTTGTAGAAAATTGAGTGTGTTGTTTATACTTTATAGTTAAGGATTGAGACATTTGGTAAAGATTTATTACATGTATTTGGGTGTCAATTCAACAACTCACTGTATAAACAGTATCCAGTAATTTTACTTTTTTTCTTATGTCCGAGTGGTGGTTGTACGCTATGTTATTAGTGGAATAAGATTCATATATAGTGATCAGCATTTATACTCAACTAGTGAAACTTCTTCTAACTTTTCTTTTTTTGGCGGTACGTATATTTCAACTAGAGTAATATATATATATATATATTTAATAAACTGATGGTTGTAAATTTATCATGCTGAATTTAATTTATTTGATTGATTGACATATTTTTCAAAGCACTCGCTAGTGGATTCTAGAATATAGTGTGATGATGTTGATGTATTGCAGCAGGATATTTTTTAAGAAGTCATGATATATGCTTCCGCTTGTGAAAGATCCACTGTGGACAAATATTGCTCATCATCTCTACATTCCAACTCACAACCTAACCACTACTAACGCACATGGATTCAAATTCTATTACTTAACTCTAAATTTAAAAATAAACTAATAATATTTTATCAAATAACTTATTTAAAAACAACTAATTTTTCAGTAATAATATAATATGTATCTCTTTTAAACTTATATTGTTTGAGAGACTTGATTTTATTTAAAATAAATATTTTATTTTTAAAATACTATAAAAAATTTTGAACTTTGACAAACAAAATTGTAGCAACAAAATTATTAACGAAACATCGATAAACATAATAATTGAGAGTATTATTATATAGTTAGATAATTCTGAATAGAAAATTACTGAAAGATACTTTTAAAATTGATAAACTATGCCTGTAAATTAAATTTAAATTGTTATTTGATGAAAAAAAGTTAATAATAAGTAATAAAGTTAATTTAAGATATTATTTTAAACTAATCGATATTCGTCCATCAAATTAGTTTATTCATTCGATTATTTTTGTATGGAGAGCTACGTTAGGGCTGAGCACGGGTCGGTTCGGTTCGAAGATCCAGAAATCTCCAGAACAGAAACCGAACTTCGGAGATTCCAAAAACTGGATCTCTGAAACCGAACCGGTTCTAACAAATCTCCGTTCTGAACCGAACTGAAATTCGGTTCGGTTCGGTTCGGTTCGGAGATTCGATTCTAGTGGGTCGGTTCGGTATGGATCGGGGATTTTGGAGATTTTTTTATTTTTTTATTTTTTTTAAAAAAAAATCTCCTAATTGCAATGTTAGATGGTACATATCATGGATGAAAGAAAATCATAAACCTCTCTTAATTTCAAAAGATATTTCGTCAATTAATAGTAAGAATAGGTGGTTAATTTTTATTTTTATTTTTATAAAAAAAGTGATAATTATCTTTTAGTTGCGAAATATCATAATTTAATTTGAAAGATTTATATGCTACACGTTTATATGTCAAAAAATCCGCAAGTGATAAGACATACATAAACAATAATAGTCAATTTAAAGATAATTACTTGTTAAATAAAAGAATATTTTGAAAATATATTATGTTCAAATAAATTAATCTCTTCCGGCCGATATCGTGAGATTCGGATATAGTACATATAAAGTTTGTTTTCAAAAAGTGAAGATATTTAATTTTATTAATAAAATAATTGATATATCCGTTCTTAATCTAATATTATGATAAAGATAAATTTTAATTTATTTTTATTTTAGAATATATCACCTTTAAATAAATAACTTTTCTTCCAAGTTTTGTAAAAGACTTACTTCATAAAGGTCGATTTTTCAAACATTCGGAATTCAAATTATATTAAGTTATACTTAATGATTTTCTTAATAAAATGTTTGACATGTTGGCTATCAAATTTTGTAATAAGAAGAATATATTAATTTATTTTTCTTGTCAATTATGTACAATACATATGAATTGTAATAGATTTTATTTGAATACAATTATGTACAAAGATGAAAAAAGACATATGATAAAATATAATATATATATATATGGATTTTATGAATTGGAATCGGTTCTTGTTCGGTTCCTCGGTTCGGTATGGTTATTTTCGGTTCGGTCTGGTCCGGTTCGGTTCTCGGTACAGATATTTTATGAATCTCCAGAACCGTACCAAAAAAAATTTCGGTACGGCTCGGTTCGGAGATAGTCAAATAGTCAACGGATATTTTTTAGTTGAGGATAAATTTGGTTCGGTTTTTGGTACGGTTCGGTAATCTCCAAGACTCGTGCTCAGCCCTACGTAACACCAATAATATGGTGGAAGCACCATAATCTATAAAATATTGAAGAATAATGCTAAAGGGTTCTGTATAATTGTAGGTGGATGTTGTATGGTATGAAGTCGATATGGGGATTTGTGCAAGTGGTCCTCCCTGTACCCATTGGCCATCGCCAACTTTTGCTATTAACATATTTGATGATCCCCTGGTCACAAATTGTTGTGCTCTCTCACAACAGTTATTTCATTTCATCTTAATGATGCCGTAAAAATGAAACATTCTACAATTATTTCATTTCATTTTATAAGTTTTTTTTTTAATATTATTGGTTTCTTTGTTATTTAAAAAAGAGATTGAATTATGTTTAGCTGAAATTTTGAATTTCTATTAATATAATATTTAAAATAAAATAATTAAAGTTGATTGATGTAAAAGTAGAAGAGATGTAATTGAAAGTGATGAGTAGTTCAAATTATATAAGTGGATGAATAATGAATTAAAAGTAGTGTAATGTGTATAGATGATTTATTGATATTATTTAATTATATTGATAACATTGATGATAATGAGGTTGAGTTAAAATTTAGTTAGATTTTGAGTTCGACAACTTTTTAAAAAACACTTGTATCCAAGCATGCACTAGTGGCTCGAAGAAAAACCTCCAAATCAACAAACCTCCTCCCGCCGAACAACGAGCCTTCTCAGCAGGGCCTCTCCGGGCCATCTCGGCGGTGGACATCACCGGGCCATGCGACCGATCTTCATAGGCCTGTCGGATGGCGGCCTCCTCTTCTCGGGAAAGACGGTGGATCCGCCCTTTTTGGTTTTTGACCCTTAGTCGCCAAGGAGGGTATTGGCCGGCGGTTCCCCGGAGAATGGGCGGCGGCAAGTTTTCGGCGAGCCTGCATCTAAAGGTTGTGGCTTCGATAATCTCTTTGGGGCTGGTCGGGCTGAGATCGGGCCGTTCTACTTCCATTCTTTTCTCGATTTCTTTGCTTCTGGGCCGTCCGGGTGCTTAGGCGGAGTCGAGTCATGGCCGGGTCTCGTGCCCAGGGCCCGGGTCGTCGGGGCTGGGATGGTGGAGCTTGTTATTGATCTCCGGTTCCAGGACTATGGGTTGTCTACCCGGGCAGGGCAGGGTTTTCAAGCCTCGAATCTAGTTAGACATGTATTCTGCTGTTTCTGGTTTTGCGACTTGGACCGGGTCTCTGTCTATGTGGGTGGTTGCTCGTGAATGTCGGCGTCATTTTGGTTCGGTTTGGTTTCGCTGTTGTGGGAAGGGCTTTAATCTAGTTATTGTTGTGGTTTTCGAATGTCGTCACTTCATTCTCTTATAAGATATGGTGGCATTTTAGGGAGTGTAAGTCACTTTGGGCCCGGTATCTTCATCGGAAGTACTGTCCTGGAGGCGCTGCCCACCCCTGTAGGGTGACGACCACTGCCCGCGATAGCAGACAATGGAGGCTGGACTTCGGGTGAGGAAGACATCAGTTTTTGGGATGGGTGGTGGTTTGGTGAGGGTCCCTTTCAAGCACTAGATGGGTTACCCACCTACCCTTTCTGTAGGTGAAAGAACTGTGGACGGAGGGGGGTTAGGATAGAGATAGGCTGGAGAGGATTCTGGGTACTGTAGCGGGATTTAGTGGCCAGGTTATAGATCATATCCAGCAGATACCCATCTCGGAGGATGGTTTGGACGGTAAGAGGTGGAGACTTACATTTTCGGGTGCATTCTCTACGACCTCAGCTTGGGGGGAAGTACGGCTGGGTGACCGGCCTAACCTTCTTGTTTGTCCCATTTTTGTTGCATTTTTCTTTATTTTTTTATTTTTCTTTTTCTTCCATTTTAGGACTTTTCTTTTGTTTTTAGTTCGTTTTGTGTTTTGTTGCGTGTTTTCCTTCATTTTGAGTTTTTTTGTGTTTTTTGTTCGTTTCTCGATTTTCTCTGTTTTCTTTCTCGTTTTTGGTGTGTAGGTCGGAAGCTTCAAGAGGATAGGATTTAGGAAAATATTGGTTGGACAAGCATAATTAACTAGAAGAATTCGTTGGCGACAAGTAGGAAAACACGAAACTCAATTCCGAGTTCGGACGAGCTCAAACGAGCCCAAAACGCAAAGTTGCGCAAAGCAGCCCCGCCCCACACGCGCGCCAGCCAGCTCCCAGCGTCCCAGGACTTAACGCCGCTAGCGCGCCCGAGCTAGCGGTGCTTCCCAGGTTAGCGTGCCCAAGAGAGCTCCTAGGTGCCCAGGCTAGTGCCTCTAGGGCCTGCGCGCGACCAAAAATGTTTTTTTTCATTTTTCTCGTTTTTGCTCGATTTTTCGAGACCTATTTGTTGGGACTTGTTCCAAGACCTAAAAGGAATTTCCTAACTCATTTTTTTCTAGAATTCTCACCCTAGAACAAAGAATTAGATCATGGCTTTTTGCTCGTTTTTCTTCTTTATTTTCTCGGATTAATCTTGCACTTCGGGTTCAACATTCGATTTTTCTATCAATTGTGAGTTTTTCTTTTCATCTAATCCATGAATATGAATGCTTGGGTTGTTGTGATTCATATTTTTGAATTCAATACGAGTAGCTAATCCGATTTGCTAGGGGTAGAGGATGATGTTTTGAATTCGTCTGTGATATTCGTGTTTGTTGGTTATTCAATTTATACGAGTTGATTTTAAAAAGGTTTTTCATTATCATTAGTGATTGTTGAATGTTGTTGATGAGTGATTCCACAACTTGCAATTGATTTTCACTTGAACATGATTCATTCGGGCTTGATATTGTTAACTCGTAAAGATTAGTCGGTTAACCACCTTCTAGTCTACTTTATTCAACTTTTAAAACCCAAAGGGGATGAGTTGATCGATCTTGGATCGTATAAAATAGGCTTGTTCGTAATTGTATTGCCTATGTGTTAAACGACCCGTTGATTTGCCGTTCATGTTTATTCTCTTGTTACGGAAAGTTATTGAGGATG